TCCTCTGTTAATTATTTCCTAGTTTTCCTGTATATAACTTGCTTGTATACACCTCGTTTGCCTATTGGCTTCCCCATTAGATTGTGAGCTTCTTAAGGGTAACGATTGTCTTTTGTCTCTTTTTGTATTCTCAGCACTTAGTATAGTGCCTGGAACATTGTAGGTGCTTAATAAATGTTTAATGACTGTCTGACTAACTGACTGATGATCTAGAAGCATAAAAAGACTGATTCAAACAAGTAAGCAGATCCAAAAAAACACTATAAAGACAAGAATGTAAATGGGAAAAAATGCTGAAAAATATTATACTAAAAATAGCTACTACTACCATTTATGTGGCACTTACTATGTGCTAGGCACTGTGCTAAAGGCTTTACAAATATTATCTCATTTGAACCTCACAATAACAAGTCAGGGAAGTAGATGCTATTATTATCCTCATTTCAGGAAACTGAAGCAAGCAGAGGGTAAGTGACTTGCACAAAAGCTATTAAGTATCTGAGGCTGTATTTGAACTCAGATGTCACTACAGGTCTAGTGTTCTATCCACTGTGAAACCTAACTGTCCCATTTCATCAGACAAGAACATCACACTTAAAGATTACCCGCAACTGTCTGATTCTTAGCACCCTTTGCCCAGTTTTCTGGCATCATTAGTGAAAAGTCAGTAGCTGTAGAAGATAAGAGCTGCTTAAAATTTTTCGGGGTAGAGCCAAAATGGCGGAGTAAAAGCAGTGACTTGCTTGAGCTCTCCCCCAAACCCCTACAAATTCTTGTAAAAAATGACTCTCAACAAATTCTAGAGCAGCAGAACCCACAAAAAGACAGAGTGAAACAAATTTACAGCCCAAGGCAACCTGGACAGTTACTAGGAAAGGTCTGTTGTGCCAGGCTGGGAGAAGAGGGCACTTCAGCGTGGGCTGCACAGACAAAGATGGGTCCCCAGCAAACCCCAGGCCTGGGGCGACTGAATCACAGGCAGCTGTGGCAATTTCCAAGCTTCTCAACCCACACATGCCAAAGACAACTTAGAAGGTCAGTGAGAAAGGTCTGTGAGACCTGGGTGAGAGAAGAGCATGGTCCAGCCCTGGCCCTACTGTAGTCCCAGGGCGGCAGCAACAGCGGTAACCACTTCTGGAGTTCTCAGACCACAGACAGTGGGGGGATGGAGCAGCTGATCAGAGGGGCATTGCAGGGATCTCTTTGCTGGTGCTGAAGCAGGATTCTCTTGCTTTGCCTGTGCTTGGATCTGGGTTGCAGTTCTGGGTGGCAGTCCTGGGGCAAGGAGAGCACTGGCATAAGCAGAGCTTGTGGCAATAATGGAGAGGAAATCCTCCTCACAGTTCCAAGGTAGAAAAGAGTGCTTGTGGTCACATAAACCAGAGCACAGGTCAGGAAAGGAGTAAACACCTCTCCTTTGATCATACCACCTTGGAAAAACTGAAAACTTACAGGGGTCCCTAGAAGTATCTTTGAAAACAGCTGCACAAAACCCCTGAAGCTTCAGACAGTATACCCCCGACATTGGAAGCTGACTCCTACCTTAACAAAGAGTTTAAACTCAAGTAATTGGCTGGAAACATGAGCAGGCAGCAGAAAAAAACTCAGACTATAGAATCTTACTTTGATGAAAAAGAAGATCAAAACATAAAACCAGAAGAAGACAACAAAGTCAAAGTTCCTACACCCAAAGCCTCCAAGAAAAATATGAATCAGTCCCAGGTCATGGAAGAGCTCAAAAAAGATTTTGAAAAGCAAATAAAATAAGTAGAGGAAAAATTGGGAAGAGAAATGAAAGTGATGCAGGAAAATCATAAAAAATGAGTCAACAGTTTGCTAAAGGAGACTCAAAAAAATACTGAAGAAAATAACACCTTAAAAAATAGACTAACCCAAATGGCAAAGGAGGTCCAAAAAGCCAATGAGGAGAAGAATGCCTTAAAAAGCAGAATTGGCCAATGGAAAAGGAGGTCTAAAAGCTCACTGAAAAAAATGGAGCAAATGGAAGGGAAGGAGTATTCAGAATGCACATCATTGGAGTGGGGAGAGATGGGGAGAAAATTTAGAGCTCAAAAATCTTGTGGAAGTGAATGTTAAAAACTAAAAATAAATAAAATAATTAACTTAAAAATAAGTAAATACATATATGAAATTTTTCTTTGTTTCCTATGTTGCCATGGCCTAAGAATTCATTGTCTAGTAGCTAACCTGCTGCTGTTGAGTCTCTACATGCTTAACACTTGTTCTTAGAGATTATCTGAATTTTGTGCTGGGCCATATTCATGTGGGTCTGTGTTCTCCTCGATTTGGATGTTCCCTCCAACAATGTAGAAGATCACAATCCACCCATACCTGCCTATTCTGTGTGACTTTTCTATGTGTCCTCTCATAAATCCACCACAGGATCTCCACTCAGGCCTACTGGATAGAGGCCCTCTTTGCCTTCTCCTGAAAACACACGCTCCTATAGAACACCTGGGCTGTTCATTTGTCAAACCTTAACACATGACCAGCTCATCTTCTCTATAACACATTTTCCTGATTGTACCTTTTACTATTTTTCTTCAAATTTCCTCACTGGTTATGTGCTGTGACCTGATTATACCCACTTTGCTCCTCTATGGTTTGTTCATTCAACTACATGTTGTAATCTGAGCAGGAGACATTCTTCATATACTTGATCTTTCCTTTGTACACGGTCAGGCCACATTCTTTTATGTGGTTATGGATCTCTTCTAGGAGATTCTGTAAAGTTCTGCAAAGTTTGATGCAATAGAATATTTATCTGCAAATAGAAACATCAACAGGACACCCTTCTTTCAGTTGGACTCTGCCCTGGATTTCCATTATCACAGTGGCATACACATTTGGCACGTACGTGTCTCCCTGTTTTGTGCCTTACCTGAGATTTTTGATCAACAGGTTGCAGAATAGGATTATTTCTATACTATTTTGTCTTTTAAGGAATCATGAACAATTTTGATATATGAAGGGGAGACAACTTACTAGCTGAGAACTTTACAGTGGTCTTTTTATCTGCCAGATTGTCCACAGTGGACAATAAGGACAGTGATATCTTGTACATCTGTCAATAAATTTTGAATTGTTAAGGGTATAGTTCATTGTAGAATATCTCATTTAAAAGCCTTACTAAATACCCTCATCAATGATATATTCAATTTGGGTTTAGATGAGTCTCACTAAGATTTTATACAGATTAGAAAGTAGGCTCTATAAACTGGTGGTTGTTAATGTTATCTTGGTTGTTTTTTCCTCAGTATTAATGAAGTCTCAGTATTAATAAAGAGTTGTGGTTTTTTTTTCCTCTGTGCCATGGTATCTTTCTCTCCAACAGCTATCTTGTGAACTTTTTCCCCAGTGCCCTCACAAATGTATTTCCTCCAACACAGATATTCTCTATGCTTCTTCTAGTTCACTTTCTTTTCTCTTCTTTCTTCTCTTTACTGCTATTCCTACCTTTCCTCTACCACATGACTTCCCTGGCTTCCTTCAAGTCTCAGCTAAAATTCTACCTTCTGCAAGAAGCTTTTACCAATCCTCTTTAACACTAGTGTGGTTCCCTTTGAAGTTAACTTCAATTTATCCAGAGTGAGAGTAACAGAGAGGATGTGTGTGTGTCTGTCTGTTGTGTGACATCTTAGTATATAGTTGGTTTACATGTTTCTCTGCCATTAAACCATGAGCACCTTGACTCAACTGTTTTTGCTTTTATCTGCATCCTCAACACTTAGCGCAATGCCTAGAATGTAGCAGTTTGCTGACTAAGGCACTTTTATTTGTTTAAATAACAAATAGTTCAAGGTGAAGTTTTTTCATCTGTATATAATATCTTTCGCATTACTACAGCTTTTCACTAACTCAGCTGTTTGCTCAGACAAGTTGGTAGGTCTAGTTGTACACTGTTGAGTTTCCCTGTAACAATCCTTTGAAATCTGACTTCTACCCTCATTACTTGATGAAAATTACTCTCTCTCAAGTTAAGAATGATATTAATCAACAAATCTGATAGTCTTTGTTTAGTCTTCACACTTCTCAACCTATCTAATGTATTTGATATTGACAATCACCCACCCTCTCTCCTGGTCCTTTCTGCTCTATGTGCTTTTCTGGTTCTCTTTTTACCTGTCTAATAACTCCTCCATCTTCTTTCCTGGTTCATCATCCATATTAGGCTCCCTAACTGTGAGTGTACCCCAAGGTTCTATACTCGTCCATCCCCCTACTCTTTCCTTCCTTGCACTCTTCTTGGTGAATTCATTTACATCACCTTCCAAGGATTTAATTCCCTGTATAAACTTTAAAAAAAAAAACCTGCTTGCTATGCTATATAATAATAAAGCTTATGCCTGTATTAGTTTCCTGAGTACTAATTTTCTGTAAATACTTGAACCCAGTTCTACGTTCTAACCTGAGCTGTGAGGCCAAACACAGCACAATAATATATAAATAATGATAAAAGAAGTAAAGTAACACCAGCAGCATTTTGGATGGATTACCAATGAAGGATTTATAGGAAAATATGGATAAAAATCACAAAAGAAGAAAAATCATGATCTGTACCAATGGAAGGAGTATCCACACTGATGAAATCAGAGATCAAATGAAGCAAATGAAAAAGCAGTTTTGTTTATAAGCCATAGTTTGGAATACAACCCAAAATTTTGTCATTATGTATTATAGATAAGTTGAATCAAAGACATTTTTTTTAACTAAGCATAAGCACCTTCCTTTATGGAAGTATTCAGTTTATACTATCTACCAGCATCTGATGTTAGCCTATCCAAATTACAAAAATAATCCTTAAGAGGCAAAATTTTCATATTGAAACTGAGGGAACATATCACAAAGGTGAAAGCTCCTTAATACTTACCACACAAAGTAAATTAAGAAGTTAAGACAAAACCAATTAGGATAAGACATGAAGTCTTAGGATCATACTGACTAAAGACACAGGTTCAGTTTAATGCTTTAATACTTACCTATTGTAGAGCTTCTCATAAAAATTTTTATTTGGCAACGTTAAGTAAATATTTGGTAATGTAAGTTCCAATACATAGTGAGAGTTGCTGACTGCTTTGTCTTGAAACTCTGTCATCTCCACTGTATCACCTGGCATTACCATCTAAAGAATAAGTCAATTTTAGGTTTAGTGAAAAAAAAAAAACATAAAACAAATCATTCTGATTGCATAATAATACTGGAAGGCAGTAAGAGGAAATGGAAAGATTTCTGGATTTAGTCATAGGACTTGGGTTAAAATACCAACTCTGCTTCTTACTATCTACGTAACCTTGGAAAAGTCACATCTCCATGAGCCTCCATTTCTTCATCATTGAAGAAGTTGGACACAGTGACCTCTGAAGTCCCTTTCAAACCTAAATCTATAATCCTAAATCTATGATTACATTTTCATTCATTTCTGGGTTTGGGATGACCAGGAAAATATACTTTATTTAGAAAACAAAATACCAAATGAAAACAAATAGCATTACTAATTCTTAAATCCTTGCTTAAAATATGGAATAAAAATTTTTGTTTTAATTAGAGAATTAGAGCAATCCTTTATTTCATTTGGAAAATAAAAGTTTCCTTTTCCCTTATATTACCTGTTCATTTTCAAACATTACTCTACGAGAAGAAAAAGGAGATGGCTCTGGTCTTCTTAAATCACAAACATCTTTCAGAGAATGAGCTCCTCCTTCTTCTTCCTCCTGAAAGTGACCATCACTCTCTTCTTCTTCCTCCGCTGCTATTCTCTCCAAAATGGAATGCATAGCTAGTGGGTTAATTTTCAGTACAATCCTAGTAGTCAAAAAATATAGAAATTCATTTATTAAAAGAAAATTTAAATATGAAGATATTCCTTATGCACTACTAAAAAGGCTGCATAATGTTACCAACAATTACTTGCATATAAGACATAATGTAAAAGATAAAATCCAAAAGATATATGATCAGAAAAGGAGGCAGACTGGTTATGTATTAAGAACAAGGGAAAACATAAGGAATACACTGTACTGGCACCTATTAAATGAGAAAAAAAAAACTAAAAGAAGGTCTACCATATGCTAGATGGAGCCCTTATTTTAAAAAAAAAAAAAACATATGGAGGATATGGACAAAAGAATCAAACAAAATTAAAAGGTATTAATCAGCTGTAATCTCCACTGCCAGGAAGAACATTCATATCAAGAAGATACTGGATCCACAAAAGCATTCTTAATAAATATTCAAGATGTAAAACATTAGCCAAAAATAGTACTTATGCTTCTTTTAAAAGTAAAATCCAACAATCCTAGAAATTGTGAATTACTGCTTACTTACCGTGGCCAATCAAAGTCATCTGATGATGTTATATCTCCATCTATTCCACTTGACACTTGAAAAAACTTAACTAATGGTTCTCCTTTATCTTCTTGGAATGAGCCTAAAAAATGTGTTAAAAGCTTAATAAATCAAAATACATAAAGTAAAGTACATCAAAGAGATACTATATTCATGTTTCATACATGGGTTACACACAGATAGGATTAAGCAGAAGGATGGCTAATCTATGTTCATGAAATGTGACTAACAGAAGGATTTCTTTAAGTCAGTTTTATAAATTAATCTTTTTAAAAAAAATACTATTAACAGGGGCAGCTAGGTGGCACAGTGGATAGAGCACTAGCCCTGGAGTCAAGAGGACCCGAGTTCAAATTTGGCCTCAGATACATAATACTAGCTATGTGACTTTGGGTAAATCACTTAACCCCAACTGCTTAAAATAAAAAAAAATATTGTTAACAGATTGTCTCTTTACAGTATAAAAAAAAATAAAAAAAATTTTATTAAGTTATTAATATATCAAAAAGCCTTGGAAGCAAGTAAGAAAAAACATTAAATTTTTATTAACTAAAATGGCAAATTCGATAAATTAGAACCTTCTATAATTTTCGGGCATTTGCTAAATGCAGTAAGAAAACAATATAATCCCTAAAAGATAATAATGTCTCATTCTTCTCCATCTGGAGAAGGTAGTTATTTTGTTTTTAAAGATTCAGATCACAAGCCATGAAACAAAGCTTCATCTGTCACTACACACCATATAGCCCTATCCATTTGATACAGAACCTAGGGCCTATGACTATAGGCATTTTTTAAGCTAGGTTTAAAAAATTTAAGAAAAAAAAATTTGTAGGTTAAAAATAACCATAGAAATATGGGAAAGGTCAAAAGAAACATTTTAACATTAGAATCAAGATAAGTTTTATAAAATACAAGTCTCCTCTAATATCAATTTAAAAAGTTTAAACATCTAGAATTTTTCTAAGAGCAAACAATGCTATTTAAATAAAGTTGCAGGAATTAATATCCTTCAGAAATTTATTTTAAAATGTTCTAACAGATGAAGCTAATATAAGTGTCTATAAATCACAAATCAGAGATATAAAATATAAATTACAGAATTGTTTTCTTGTTTATTTTTACCAGTAGTTATCAACAAAATGTGAATACAGAAGGCTCCATAAAACGAAAGCTTGAGGAATCAAGCCATTTTTATTTTTTGGAGGAAGAGTTATAATTTATTTCTACAAACTGATGAGACTACCAAGAGTGCTCAAATTTAAGTCCCTGAATTCTTGCAAAAGAGAACCATAATAAAATCCCTGAAGTAAGGAAGGCCTTTCAAAGATTTCAGTAGGAAATTCTGGAAAACCTTGAGTGAGGGCAAGGAGGCAATAGCAGGATGATGGGTATATTCATAGAAAATAGTCCGCAAATTATACAAGGTAAACTCTTATGATCTCTACTAGTAGATTCTGATCTGCAATGGAGTCTCTTACCAAGAATAGTTTAAGACATTTTTTTAAAAATGAAAATGAACACTGTTTTAAAAAAAACTCCCACAGGGCTAACAATATAAAATCATGTTGAACTGAATTAAATTGTCATTAATAAGCCAGCTCGGCCCTACAGTTTGTAGCCTGAATCACTCTGTCACTGAAGAAATATTTTTGCTATTATGTAATCTCTTCTCTTTATTGTATACTTTAATAAAATCCTGGGGAGGAGAACATTTTGGGGGCATTTTTTAGATGAATAATTTCTTTTTTCACCAGTTTTAGATTGCCTGGCACATTAAAATCTTACCAAATAGCTCTCTAAAGGTAAGCTCCAATTTAATTTGCTCTGGAGATGATCCTCCTATAAACTCAGTCTTAAATTCCATATTGTTGAATTCTAAATGAAGGATCTCCTTTTGAAGTGACTTCTTAAACCAAGGTCCTCTTTCCTGATCTGATCGAAGGTCCGGTATTGGGAAGCGAACAGCAAGGTTTAATGCCGGTGTAGTGACTTGTATAGATATCTGACAATTTGGAGGAGTATGTGAATCATCCAGAAAAACTTCTGTGAAAGCTTTGTGCTAGAACACAAAAATATTTTTTAAAAGGTTAAATACTAATTCAATTAATGGATATAATACATGAAGATAATATGAAACTATACTTAAAACAGCAATTGAGTGTTACTTTTGAAAAGGATATACTTTGCATATCACATTAATTATTACTATATTTTGAGAGATTTGGTTACTTAGTTTGATAAATCATGGCAAAAGTCATAAACGTAAAGAGGTATAACAAAAGATAATTCCTAACACAGAAAATTAAAACAAAAATTAACAAAACAATGACAAAAAAAAAGACATGACTTCATAAAATAAGCACTACACATACCTAAGCTGAAAATTAAGTAAGGCAAATAAAATGTGAAAATGAACCTGAATTGTTACGGAAGAAAACTCTAATCAGTTAAAAATCATAGTCAGATCCTACTAAAGATCAATTTTATAGGTTTTCCTAAAAAGGAGTAACCACGTTGCAGTGATCACTAAAAAACGCCACTCAACAGAATGTTAAGAAGAAATAAATAAAATACATCATGTAGCCCCGATCACATCTGCAATCTACTAGAAACTCTTAAATGTTTTTATATTATTTTAATGGATAATCCAATGATTCTTCACTGCAGTATAAACTTTTTTCTATGATTTAAATGCAAAAAAAAGGATTTGGGTTCCAAATATTTTTAAAATGTGCCAATAAGTACATTTTTACCAAATAACTTGTCAACAATGTTTCCTCACAAGTAAATGGTACTTTGGAGGAGTGTTTTCGGTGTTAAAGTTAAAGAATCTCAACTTATTATTCCAGAAAAAAATCAAAGGCAAAAGCAACTTATTTTTAACTGTGACGTTCAGCATTCCCATTGTCACTTGTTTTTTTAACCTGTTACTGGAAAAACTTACTTTGGGATAAACATACCACCCTTGGGCACAGAAAAACTAGAATATCACAATGCAGTATCCTATCATTTCCTCTTTTGTCACAGAGGATGATATATTCCCTCAAAGAGTTAAAAAGCTGCACAAACAGCACAACGTTTTCTGAACTGGGCTTTCTGTCACCTTTCCTGCTGTGGCAGTGCTGCTGCAAATGACACCATGATAACAGCAGGGTAACTAGGAAGATAGAATAATTTTTTATTCAGTAAGACCATGTGCACCACAGGAACTTGTATATTCTAGTGAAAGAATATAAGTCCCTTTCTAAAAAGATTAGATTAAAATTAGGTTTTAAAATATTAGATTCCTAAGTGATTGCCATGTGTGATTCTATAGGGACCATGTCACTCTTTTCTCAAATTCCAGTGGTTCCCCATTGACTGTAGGATATAGTACACCTCATTTGGTTTTTAAAGACCATTCAAAACTGGGTCCCAGACTACTTTTCTTGTCTCATGATACATTCATCACTTTATCATATTCTCCAGTCCAACCAAATAGGCCTTCTTGCTGTTCCATACACATAACATTCCATCTCCCATCTTGGCCTTTGCAATGACTATCTGTCAGGCCTCAAATGCATTCCTTCCTGACCTTCAACATATATAGTCTTTTCCCTTCTTCAAAACTTAGCTTAAAAGCTCTTATACCATCTTTCCTAATAACCCCAACGACTAGTGCCTTCTCATACCTAAACTACCTTTCATTTATTTTTTGTAAACTTATGTAAGTAGATCTTATGTCTCCCAATACAATGTAAGTTCCCTGAGAGCAGGCACTATTTTTGTCTTTGTATCCCCACTGCCTAGTATAGTAGTTGGCATATAGTAGGTATTTAATAACTGCTTATTAACTGATGGACTCTTAAATGTACTTAAAATTTCAGAAACTCAGTGAACAACTGCAATAAAAACGATCTTTGTAAACCACTCAATCTATTCCTGGCAAGAATACAGACAGACAGACAGACAGACAGACACACACACACACACACACACACACACACACACACACACACACCATTTCTTCCAACAGAAGCCACCATCCAAAGTAATGAGAGCACATCTGGATATCTGAGGGATAACAGGTGACTGATTTTTTTTTTTTACCACTTTTGTCTCATTTCTTCAATCTTCAGTGAATATTAATTATACTAGCCTATCTTTAAAAGCTTACATATGTAGGGAAGTTGGGCTATAGGGGAATAAACCAGTGTTTAACCAAAACCTTCTCCCTCCTAAGCACCTACAAGAGCTCTAAACATAGTGCTTAATAAATTTTTGTTGGGGACTTCCAAATAAGATGGCTATGTCAAAAGGTCATACAGAAGTCTAAGTCCCCCCAACAGAAACGCCAACAAATATCTGAAAATGGTCCTAGAAGGCCCAGTAAGAAAGAAATCCAAAAAGAAGCAAATATAAACTGCTCCATGCAGTCCAGAATTACATAAAAGGGATCAAGAAGGTGGAGTTTGGTAAGGGAGTCACAACTAGCTCAGGTAAATATAGAAGTAGAAGTAGTGAGATCAATCATGCTAAGACACCAGCACAAACTGCAATAACTGAGCTAGAAGTCAACATAAGCAGAGAGAGGAGAGAAACCAGCTCAAATTCCTGCAGAAAGATGTGCAGCTACTCAATACTCTGAATGGGAACCAACACCAGCTCCAATAATCAGGAATCTGAAGTCAAATCCTGGCCCTAGCCTGTCAGATCAGGAGCAAAGTCTGAATCAGCCCTTTCAGCTCACTGAACAGAAAGACATATGCATTCCTCAAAGCACTGGAAGCCACAGAAAGAAACAGGGCAAACTCATCATCTGGCACCAGCAGATCCATACAGAAGGCTTCAAACCAAAATTAACTCTAACACGCCACTGTCAGAAACACATGAGAGGTCAGTACCAATTCTTCATTAAGGATCACAGAAAGAAAAAGAAAAGGTCATTCAAAGATGAAAGCTGCCATAGATTACCAGAAAAACTGAGCAAAAACAATTTATTTAAAAAAAAAACCCACAAAAATAGAAATTCTAAAAATCAAAATCGAAAACAACAACAAAAATTGAAGCTGGTTATAGGGAAAAACAAAGAAAAGAAACTGCTAACCTGACTAAAAAAGGCAAGAAAATTAAATATCTAATAATAAAAACTGAAAAAAGATAACACAACAAAGGAAGTGGAAATAGGAAAATTATTAGAAACTATTCTGCCTAAGTATATGCCAACAAAATTTATAACTTCACATTTACAAAAATTAAAAAATAGCCAACAAGACAAAGAATTTAAATAACCTAATATTTTAAAAAATCATAAAGGAACTCCCACAGAAAAATATCCCAGGTTAAAAAGAATTTACAAGTGAATTCTACTAATCACTTAAAAATCAATTTTTTAAATAAAGTACATGCAAAAATAGGGAAAGATGTTCCCAAGCTCCTTCTTTAAGACAAATATGGATTCAACAGCTAAACCAGAGGGAATGAAGTCAGAATTAGGAAATTATAAACAAACATCTCTAATGAATATTGATGAAAAATACTGAATATTACCAAAGAATCTAGAGGAATATATTTAAAAAATTAAATACTATGACCAAGGGGCAGCTAGGTGGTGCAGTGGATAGAGCTCCGTCCTTGGAGTCAGGAAGACCTGAGTTCAAATCTGGCCTCAGACACTTGACACTTACCAGCTATGTGACCCTAGGCAAGTCACTTAACCCCAACTGCCTCACCAAAAAGCAAAATAAATAAATAAATAAAAATTAGAATGAATACTATGACCAGATTTGACTTATATTAAGAACTCAGAGTTGGTTCAATATTAGGAAAACTATAAACATAAGACTATATTAACAGCAAAAATAACAAAAACTCATATGATATAGATGCATTTTGATAAATATATGGATATATTTTTGACAAAACACATTTTTATATGAAAAACACTAAAAAGCATAGGAATGAATGTACCTTTATTCATTATAACAAATAATCTGAATAAAACCAACAGTTAGAATGATCTATAAGAGAGAAAGACTTGAGGCCTTTCCAACAAGATCGGGGTAAAATAAGGATGTCCATTTTTATTTGATAAAGTACTACAACAAGAAAAGGACAAGCAATGAATAAGCCTAAGGAAAAGAGAAATAAAATGACTACTTTATGCAGATTTGATAATTTGCTTAGAGCATCCTAGAGATTAACTAAAAATTTAACAGAAACAACAACTTAAGCAAAGAAGACACCAAATATACTCACAAAGCTCAATAGCATTGAATGGATGGAGTCTGAATACTGATTGAAGTATGCTTATTTTTCTCGGATTTTTATTTTGGTCTATTTTTTTTTTTTTTACAATATGACTGATATGGAAATGTTCTGCATGACTACACACATATCAAATTGCTTGCCTTCTCAATAAAGGAGGCAGCGAGGGAGGGAGAGAATTTAGAACTTAATTTTTAAAATACATGTTGAAAATGGTTTTTACACATAATTGGGGAAAAATAAAATACTAAATAAAAGAAAATATTACCATCAAAAACCAGCAGAAACAGTTTATTTTCTAGAACTAGACGAAATTATAATAGATAAGGAAAAAAAAGGCAAGATTATAAAAGAATTTTTTTAAAGCAGGAAGAGGCCAAGCAGTATCAGATGCACACAAAGCAGTAATCATCAAAACTATATAATATTGATTAAAAATAGAAAAGCTGATCACTGGAACAGATTAGGTACACAAAGCCTAGAAGTAAATAAACACAGTAGCAAAGTATTCAATTCAATCCCAAGAATACATACTATTTAAGTAAGGACTCATTTTCAATATTCAACATTAACTACAGGGAAAATATGACAGTAGTCTGGAACAGGCAGAGCCAAGATTTTGGAGTATCGGGAAATATTACAGTGAGATCACCATCAAAATTTTTTCAAACAGATCTAGAAAAAACACCTGACTAAATCCCAAAGACATCTAAGAAAAAGTTACATTGAGTCATTTTTTCAGTATAAGTTGATCTAGGGTAACAGAGAGGTCTACAAATACTGGGGATAGGGTCTGGCCAGGTATACAAGGGA